TTGCATCATTGCTTATTATTTGGTGATGGTGTGGCCCATCTTAGGTCTTGCAGATTGGGCAGTTGTCCCTACATATGCTCCTCGTGGCATAACATGCATGATAGCGATCTGGATCAAGCTCACAACAGTAGCAGTCTACCGTGTGACCTTCGCCATCTCCACATCCACTCCGTTTGCCGCAAAATACAAGGTCGCAATCTGCAGTATTCCCGTCTGCGGTGGAGTGGATCAGTGTAGCATTATTGGCACCTGTGTAATTACATGCCATGCCACTTCAGAGAATCAGATAGGCCCTGGCGTCCCATCGCAAAGCTGAGGCCTGATCACCTTCAAATTCAAGTTTTTTCACTCACTCTCCATCACATCAATTTTTAGACGCATGCATGGAGCATTAAATGTAGGTAAAAAAAATAACTAATTACACAGTTTGGTTGTAAATCACGAGATGGATCTTTTGAGCGTAGTTAGTCTATGATCGGACAAAGTTTGTCAAATACAAACGAAACGTGCTACAGTGTCCAGGTTGCAAAAAATTACAATCTAAACAAGGCCGAGTAAAGTGGCAGGAAGCATTTGCTGCTGCCTGGCGGCGGGCGCACGGCCACAAATAAATGTTCAAGCACTTCAATTTGGCCGTGTATGTGTCCTTGTTGAGTTCATCGCGAGCAGGTCGCTGGCCGGTCCGACAGCAACGATTGAAAATTATATTAGACCCTACCAAGATCGAACCTGACGCCGCCAATTAATGATACAAAATAAGCACCATCAAATTGGTTATAGAATATAATTTCATAATAAATTTATTTGGAGACATAAATGTTAATACTATTTACTATAAATTTAATCAAACTTGAGTTCCTTTGACCGGCACAGATACCATAATTGCATTCTTTTGTGGACGGAGAGAGCATGTCCATGCAATGCAAATGATGCAAACAAATATTTAATGGTGCATCCCTTGTTGTAGGTTAGATTTAACTTCATGTAACACATTTACAAAGTTATTATAGTAAATTAAATGGTTTCATGAAAAATAATCGTATGATGTGTGTTCATGCATTATAAAGTCATAGATAAAGTAATTACTTTATAATAGATGAAAAGTTTATATTCAATAAATAGTCATATTAAACACGGACAAAGTAGTATCTGAAAGATATCTACCATATCATATTATTAAAGTACACATGTTCAAATAAATATTACGCAAGTTAGAATAAATAAACATGAAAATATATATAATTGTCTTACACAAGCTAAGGTTGCAAAGCCCTAACATATGTGTCCCTCACAAAAGATGCTAGCGCGCCCGCTCCCCCTCTCTCCGATAAAGCTGTGAAAAATAATATTGTGGCATCCGCTCATGATTCATGTAGCAGAAAGATGGCGACAAGAGATAAAGGGGAACAGCATGCAGCCTGCAGTACGTTGGTGCCTTCGGTGTGAGTCGGCTAAAAATAAAGCCTGAACACTATACTTCCTTTTCTTTCAGTTACGTAGGTACTCCCTCTATCAAGAAAACATGTAACTATGAATTACGTGCCAGATAAAGTTATTCACGTTTGATCAAATTTTAAATAAATAATATTTATATTAATGACTCTAAATTAATTTATTATGAAAATATATTTCATAATAATCTAATGATACTTATTCGATGTTATAAATATTTATCGTTTTTTATCTATAATTGGTTAAATATGATATACTAAAACAAGGCACTGTGCTCTTCCTGGATGGTGGGAGTACATGTTCAGTGTGTATGATAATAATATCCCTTGTTATAGTCGTTAGATTAAATGAGCCCGGCCATGAATTAACTGTAGAATTGGCAGGAGCATCTATATATAATATATGAGACCATGCATGCATTTTTATACATTTTTGTTGCAATAATGGATTAGTTACTTCATAAATTAGACGTTGGCTCTCTCAGCTATCGCATGATTATTTACGGCTGTCGTCTTCCAGTTCTTGCCGTTGGCGGTGGGTGTGGGGCCAACAACAGGGGGGTCGGATGAATTTATAGTACAACGGATCTCTCTACGTACTCTAGCTCTAGCGCTTTTGTGCTTTCATTCATGTGCTGTGCAATGAACAGATGGGTCAGTTTGGCTTCAAAAAGAACGCTGCCGTAGTGCTTTTCTTTCATTTGGCTTTGTTGTGGGAACCGCCCACAGGACGACTATCGGCTTCGTGCAAAACGGCAACAAAAGCACACTTTTTGTTTGTCATCATACATGGGGTACTGTGGAAGCTTTTCCCTTTTCTGGCAAGTATTGGAAAATGTGAGCTCATGAGCATCCCTTCAGACATTCCCTCCACTATGAAAATGAGCTTCGGGATTGGATAATAACATAGATCAATCATCACATTGCTTGATAAGTGCGTCCTGTAAGGGCGTTACAACAATGTCAGCCTTATATATATTGACCCTTAAAGAGAAGAATATGTAGCCTACCTATATTGATACATAGTTTTACTACCTACATAGTTTTTGCTAAGTAGCAATAAGTTGTTCTGACTTTTTTAAGCACACATAATTTTTGTAACGCACCATATATATATATAGAAAAGATTAAAACAATTTGCAATTTGGAACCGAGGGAAACCAAGTAATCAACGTGAACCAACCATCAAGGCACCAACTCATAGTTGCAGCCAAAAGAGCAAGCACCCATCTCCAGCATGGAGAAACACGTCTCCTTCCAACCCCGAGCTCGGCATATATAGCATGCTTCAAGCCTGTCCTTGTTAGCTAGTTGTACTAATTGGCTAATGAACTAACATCTAGCCAACAGCTTGGCTAAGGATCTGTTTGGATACATATGCCCTTAGCCAATAATACAAACGGGGGCCTAGTACTAATAGCCTACCCATTAGCTCTATTGTTTGAGTGGACTAGAATTAATTTATATAGCGGCTAGTTGTTAGCATATGAAATTCAAACAGACCCTTAAATGTGTGCGCTCATGTTAGCTATATATTGATGATCATATAGTCACTACTGGAAACTCGAATTGTTCTGTGGGTGAAGAATTTTTCTGTGCGTTTTTTTCGGCACGCACAGAAAAATTATGATTTTTCTGTCGGTTTCAAAATATCCCGACAGAAAAATACGAAAACCCACAGAATAATTATATAATTTTTCTATGCGTGACAATACACTCACAGAAAAATTCAACTTATTCTGTCGGTTCTTTTAAAACGCACAGAAAAAATATATACACGCACAGAAAAAATATTATTATTATGTCGGTTATTTTAAAACACACAGAAAAAACATTCGCATGCACGGAAAAATTCATACTACCAAACCCCTCCCTTCTTACTCTCTTCTCGCGTCTTCCTCAGCATCCGAACCCCAGCGCCCCCTCCCCCTCCCTTCTTCTTCCTCCGCACCCGCGTCTACCTCCGCACTCGCGTCTTCCTCAGCATACGAACCCCAACGCTCCCTCCCCCTCCCTTCTTCTTCCTCCGCCAGACCCCCGCGCCCCCTCCCTTCTTCTTCCCCGGCACCCGGCCCCCAGCGCCCCTCCCCTCCCTGCCGCCACCCCTCTCCTTCTTCTCCCCTTCTTCCCTGGCGCCGCCCCTCCCCGGCCTTCTTCTTCCCCGGCGCCGCCCCTCCCTCTCCCGGATCCGGCCCTCCCTCTCCCGGATCCGACCGGTGGAGGTCGGTGGCGGCCGGATCTGGGCTCTGGTGGTGGCGGGCGGCGTGCGGCGTGGCGGCAGGCTTCGTGGTGCTGGCGTGGTGGTGGTGATCCCCGGCGCCGCCCCTCCCTCTCCCGGATCTGGCCCTCCCTCTCTTGGATCTGGTCGGTGGAGGCCGGTGGCGGCTGGATCTGGGCTCTAGCGGTGGAGGCCGGTGGTGGCCTTTTTTTTTAATTCCATACTTTGCATAACATTGCAGATCTGATTACACTCATTTCCAATCCGGTTGATCACATTCTGGATATAGGCTTGTTGTGTGCTCCAATGGTAAGATATCGACTCCATGTAGTTTGAAGTTTTTTAGTGTCAAATTCGTATTGAAGGCTAAGATCAATGTCAAAATTGGCAATTATCCCATCATATTGTCAATCTCATTTTAGAATAAGATGTGGTATGTAATGTGCAGTCAACATGAATTCTTTATTTCTCCAATAGCACATGATTGTCGTCCTACATGCATTTTTTTCTACTGCCTATAGCTAGCCACTTTATAGCTTCTTTGAAATTGTTGGTTGAATTTTTAAAGCTGCACATGAATGATTGTTCCATTATATATCCTAATATGGGCTGCAGTAGCAAGTTCCATGCATAAAAGTTGTAAAGTGTTAGCTAAAACAACACTGAAAAAAATATTTGGTTTGATAAGATTTGGGAGGCTAGCATGTTGTTTAACTATTTATTTGCATGAATCTTAATTCATTGTTTACACATGTCTTTAGGACCATTTTAGTGTTTTGCACAACACTATAGATATGCTTTAGAGTTTCAGGAGTATGCTTATTTCAAGTTTCATACTAATCTGGCTTCGAAAACTGTTTGTAGTGTACATTTCTTGTTAAGTATGCACAGCTGTTAGGCTTCACTGATTGATGCAGTCCTTTAATCATCGAACAGATAAGCGAGTGGGGAAAGTAACTTGGGATATTTTGACAGTCTCGTGCCGCGCTGCTCTCCCCTTCCCTAACTATGCCTTGTGACTTTTTTGTTTTGTACTACTCTTGAGTGGCTGTGATGAATCAAGTTTCCATTAGAGAACTTCTGCACTTTAGCACCTTATGAGCTGGTACTTGGGATATTTTGTCCTGTTTGCTGCTTAACTAGGATGGCTTGTACCAGTACAAGCAACCAGTTCTGTGGCCAGTTCAATTTCCAGTAGAAAGAGAGAATTAAATTAAGCTCCAGGATGAAATTAAGTTGCAGTTGTCATGCTGATAATGGGTAAATCTGAGCCATTTCTCGAGTTCTTTTGCTCTTGTTCTTTTGCTCCAGGTGAAACTTAGGTAATACTTTCAAATGTGAAATTTCTGGAGATGATCAACTTCTAAAAGAAGGTTCTTCTCCTCTATTGTTAGTTCAAACCGTTGTCTTGGTGGAGGTGGACCCCTCTCATCCGGTCTCCTTGGGGGTCTCCCAGAATTGTTTCTTTGGCTACTCCTGTTACCAGATTTGGCACCCCATCCATCTGCTTTCCAGTCCTTGTTACTAGAATCAGCTGTCTCTTTCCATTGAGCAATACCTTGTGAGTTCTCAGCAAGCACATCATTCCATCTTATCTTTCTCACCCCAACTGGATCCTGCATTAGACTTGGCATTTGGTCTTTCAATTCCATCTCCAGCATTCCAAGCAAAGCCTCCCCAAGTCACGCTCGCCTCCCGTGCTCACCTTTGCCCTCGTCGTCCTGGTAATTCTAGCTCTCTGTCTGTTACCCGACTGCTCCTGCTGTTAGTTGTAATTTTCCGGATGCTGATGGTGTTATGTGCTCATGTTTGTAGGGTGTCATCCTTCTCATGTCTGGTTGTTCCTAGTGCTTTGCTGCTTTGCTTCTGTGCGTCTAAAAATTCAGACCATGCATTAGTAGTTACCATCTGTTTTTCTCTTTATGGTGTCCATGTTATTGCATTTCTGCTTGATATGGAAAGTTACATGACAACCTTGCAACAGGAACTCTATGAATGTATTCAAGAGCAAACCTTGTAAATATATAGCGGGATGCAGTGCTCAGATCACTCTTGTAGTGAACTACTGTAACTCTCTTTTCAGAGCAATATTATTATTGGATAAGAACCTTTCTGTTGCTTTTGTATTATTCTTATGTCATTCTATTGCTTTTGTACTTTTATCAATGGGATGTCTGTGATTGCTAAATTGGGTTGTTTTTGTGCTTTCAGGGTTTGGAAAAGATTCTGGACCAACACATGGTCAAAGTCTGCAATGATCAGTATAGTTTGACTGACAAATATACTGATGGCTGGCTGTCTTTAGGTATTCTCATTTGAACTAGTTTTTTTATAATTATTTTTATTTATTCTTGATGTTGACAATAGGCATATTTCTTATTTCATCTCCAAAATGATGTGCCTCTGATTTTCTAATTAGAGTTAGTGGAGAAAAGTATTAGGTCTTTCAGTTTTGTTGATGAAACCAAATATTAGCTAGTATCATCTAAGCTATAAGATCTTACTGAAATTAACTAGTTCATAAACTTACTGAAATTTGTGGACTAGTGTCTAAACACTATCTTGAGTTATGGTTAATTCAGTTCAATGTCTATTAGAAATTACTTTTCTCTTTACCTCTGAATATTTTTTCCTATTCACAAGATTACTCTAATTAATGAAAAATGGTCTTTTGCAGGAGGCTTTGGGAATTTCTTAGTTTGATAACAGATTGTAGATATGTTGATCAGTAGCCGTGCTTTGTTTATATGGTTTCAATAACATTGTGTTTTGTAACTGTATAATGACATTGAAACATTGAGTCCATTGTTATGAACAACAATGATATGTAACAATTTTTATGTTGATTATATGTATCGAGATTGCTGAATGTAACATGTTTATGCATGGCTAAATGATACTATTCATGTATGATGAAATATGATGAGTCATTAGTTATGAGCCGTGCTTGTAGACTTCATTACTGTATGGATTTTTCTGTGAGGCTGGCTACGCAGAAATATTATTTTTAATCTGGGCGAAATGAATTTTCTGTGAGTTCACTAGACCGACGAAAAAAAACATATTTTTCTGTGCGTTTATTTCTTTTTTTCTGTGTGGACTAACACACAGAAAAATTAGTTTTAATCTGGGTGAACATAATTTTTTTGTGTGTGTGAGACCCACAGAAAAATTATTTCTGTCGGTGAACCCACAGAAAAAGTCGATTTTTCTGTCATTCTATTTCTGTGGGTTATTTTCTGATATTTTCTGACGGTATTCGAATTTTTCCGTGGGTTTTCGTACACACAGAAAAAAGAGAGATTCCAGTAATTTCATGTATATATACATACAGATGATCCTCTCCGGATGAAATCTTGAGTATGCAATAATGCAAACATACTCGATGGGACTGTCAAGTTTCCACGCAATCCTACTGGCGCGTGAGTGTGCTATATGCCGGTAGTTGGATCAACACACAAAAAATCACAAATTTATTACACTGGACAGGGATGATCAGCGAAGAAGATAGCTACGAGTACGGATGTCACACATGCACATCTTAGACTCTTAGAGCAACTATAATAGCAGGCTGTAAGCAGGTTAAATGCTGACGTGGAGGAGAAATAGAAGAAACGGGCCATAAGCTTATAGCCGGTTTAGACACAAGAACAGAGAAACTCTGTGAGAGAGACGGGTGAGCCATATATTAATGTTGAAGAGCTAACTACTATATGGATGGACTGAGAGGTAGGCTGCAAGGATCCTTATAGCCAGCAGCGGGTTGTATCATTAACCTTGCTCTTATGTTGGTGTTGGTTTGGGGAACATATTTTAGATCCGGCGATGCATCTTAAGCTTATTTCTCAAATTTAGTGGATAGACCACACTCCTTATTATACTAGTACTAATTATTAGCTCGTGAGAATAAAATGGTAATAATAAATCAACTCATTTTATTCCGCAAACAAAAAAAAACTAAAAAATGAGATGACGTGGACCACTTCGTTATTCCACAGACCCTTGGCGACGTCTCATATTCCAGATTATATTCGCTTTTTGAAACCAGAGTGAACTACACGAGCAGTTGGTGTTTGCAGCTCAAACACGTCGTACGTCCTAGCACATCTATCTCCAATGCGGATCACGAGGCCGGTGCACGCAGGCATGCATGCACAGCAAGCCCTGGCTGTGTTCGACGAGCAATGCAGCGACCATGCATCATGACTGAGAGGACGAGCATGTTCCTGCACATCTGTCTTCGATGCGTGGTGCACAGATAGGCTTTGCAACTTTTTCATTTCTCCGAGCAAAATTGCCTCGTTTTCGCAATAATTAAGCAAAAGCAAACAAAGCTCCTTGGCCAACTACGCAACCCTGGACATAAAAAACCGAGAACCGAACCGAACTAATCGAAACCGAAACTAAAGTAACCGAAATCGAAATATTCGGTTCCCAGGTTCGGTTCCAGTTCCCGAACCGAAATTATTACGATTAATTCGGTTCCAGCACTCGGTTAACCGAACAAAACTGAAGAACCGAATCTGTACATATTGGCCGATTTGGCCCAATAGCAAAAGAGGCCCGGCCCAAATTCCAACCCTAGGTATATAACACAGCCCCTCAGTTCCCATCCCCACCACCCAGGCGCCTACCCGACCTTTCCCTGTCCCAGTGCCACGCTGCCTCCTCCCCTGTCCCCAGTCCTCCCCTGTGGCCGGTGTCTGCTCCGGAGGTCGAGGCCGAGTCCGGTGCGTGCCCGCTGCCCTGGAGGCCGAGGCACGGAGCCGCTGCTGCTCGCTGCCTAGAGGCCGAGGCGCAGAGCTGTTGCCGCTCGCTGCCTTGAGGCCGAGGTGCGGGGCCATGGCCCGTGCGGCCTGGACTGGAGGCCGAGGCGCCGAGCTGCCGCCGCTCACCCCCTGCGCGCGCAAGCCCTCCACCATCGCGCCTGCCTGAGTCCTCTACCTCTACTGCCGGCAAGGACTCGGGAGGCCGGATCTGGACGAAGGGGCGACTGCCGCTGTTTTTTTTTCATTTCCCCCTTTTCTTCCCTTTTGTTTCGCTGATGTAATGTATGGCTCGGTTAGTTCGGTTCTAACCGAAACCGAGACCGAACTAACCGAGACCGAATTTTTTCGGTTCCTAGTTTTCTAGCTAACCGATTGGTTCCTAGTTTTATGCTAACCGAATGTTATAAAGAACCGAGGAACCGAACCGATTAGTTTCGGTTAACCGAATGACCAGGGCCACTACTGCGTACGTCCGGCCTGTATACTGCTGCATGTCTCGTCCAAAGACGAAGTGGTGGAACGACGACGACCGCTGTGCGTATGTGGCTGCTCGAGGTGATCACGTGGCGTGCCTTTGCCTTTTGGGATGCGTGCGTGCCACGACGAGGACGCGGTTGCCATGCCTCTCCCACCGACGGATTAGAATGGTACAGTAGTAGAATACTTGGATGTCCATAGTGTGTACAATCTGCTGATGATCATGCAAAATGCTTTGGCTTCCATCACACAGCTTAAATGCCAGGCATAAAAACGCATTGGTAACTAAACTCCTCCTAACAAACCTGCCCATCTCTAAAATACTTGTTCACGCCTTAGAAACCTGTCTGAAAGGAGTACATGATACAATTTTTAAGTGGAAACTTGTGACGAGCACAGCATTGTGTGGCGACCATGCATGCATGTAGGCATGTGAGACTGTCTCCAACGAGGAAGACCTAAACGTGAGACGCATTCGGTAGATTGGGTCACGCACAGTAGAATGGATAGGCAGCCAAAACTCCCGTTTTCCAACCGAGGACGCAAAAGAGAAGCAGAACGGTGAGCTCGGCCCCGGCAAGCTCTGCCCCGGCGCGCTCGGCCCCGGCGAGCTCCGTCCCGATGCGCTTGGCCCCGGCGAGCTCGGCCCCGGCGCGGGCGAGCTCGGCCCCAGCGCGCTCGGCCCCGGCGCACTCCGCCCCAGCGAAGCTCGTGGTGGTGGGACCCGCCTACGTGGAGGAGACGCAAAGGGAACGAGAGAGGACGCAAGTTTGTGTACCGTGTTTCGTCGGACGCAAAATGGCTGCTGTGTTTGGGTAGTCCGTTGGAGGTTGATTTTTCCCCGCAAAAGCACTGTGCAGTACCCAAAATGCGGATGAGTCACGGTTTGGGTACTCCGTTGGAGACAGTCTGAGGACTGAGGACGCGCATGCATGCACCTTATTACCTTTCCCAGGCAGCTGTTTATACTAGGTGAAGTACCCATGCGTTGCTGCAGAAAATTGTAAGATAAAGATGATAATAACATAGAAAAGATTTAAATAATAACGTTTATGATTTATTCTTGAATGATTGCTAAAGCAATGTTGCAATACGAAAATCCAAAAGCAGTCGAATTACATCTCTATTGACGGTATATATGCCTATGAAGATACATGGCAGGACGCAGGAATGACGTGTACAAAGGACCTAATGTGTGCGTCTGCATTACGGCTGATCAGAGATGAGAATAGGAAACAAATAACATCTTAATCAATGGCATGAACCAAGTTCCAGAGAAATAGATAAGTAATGAAGATGAGTAGATCCGAGGCTGACTGAACCAAATTTAAAATATACTATATGAACCAAATTTATAGAAGTAATAATATATATATATATATATATATATATGTATGTGTGTGTGT